ATGTCTTAACCAGTACGTGGACTTGTATGTAACACTGTTTAAACCTCTATGTCGCTTCTGTATAACATAGTGTAATAAATATGTTAACTTATGAATACTTTATTGTCCCAGGCGTTTTAGTTTTAGTAGAGGTTTTACGGCGCTCGCAACCGCACAAGGTCATATAAGCGCCAGAAGATTAGATGTGTTACAAGAGAGTTACAAACATTAAAAAGAAGAAGGGGAGATAAGGACGAAATATATTAAGATAGGAAAGAAAGAAGGAGCAAACCACACCAGAGCACCCGCCAACCACCCACTGTCCCAGACGGAAATTTGTCTTTATTTTATGGGACTGTAAAAACACATGCAGGTAAGCATAGAAGTTTTGATTACATATTTCCTTAAAATTCAACTTAAGAGAAAAATAAAGCTGACAATAACGCACATCAAATGCACCATTTAACCACATGCAGGAATCTATATCACAAGACCTTCAGAGTTATATAGATACATGTATATAATATTCGAAACAGCAATACACAAATATATTTATTCCCACAGCACCCTTATCCTAGATGGCAAGAAACTTCTTTTGTATCTTTCTGCCTTGGCCATTAGTGGTACGTATCTGCTGTTGCGTGATCTCACAATTTGTGTAGAAAGGGGGTGTTAAGGGTCATTTATGATGCTGTTTATCTTTTTCGTATATTATAGTATTTTTGTATAGCACTAAATTAACCGGTATGTGGACTTCTTTCTACTTCTTTCGTATGTTTGTCAGTCTCTTGTGAACTGCTATTTCCGGGGTGCCTGGATACCCGAAGCAGACTTTGCGCTGTTGAGGCTAGAGAGGTGAGCAGGGTAAGCCTGATTCCCCGTTTTGACTTCTCTGTTGACATCGACCCCCTTGGTGCTCATAATTATGACCTTATGCAGTTGCGAGCGCCAAAAAACCTTACTAAAAAAAGTAAACCAGTATGTGGACTCACGTATGACATTGAGACAGCCATCCCCCCAGGTATTGCCCACGTGATTGGACACCCGACACTGGACGCAGAAAATGTCCGTAGCCTTTTGCACGGACCGTATGGTAAGCTGCTTCTTGTCCGAGGACATGACGAATTTGGACGGGTCTGAGGATGTGCAAGAAGGGAGGTAGTTAGTCGCCATCAATGCAAGGCTGGAAGAGTGGGAAGGGGGTGATAGTAATGTGTTCTTTTTTGTTTTATTTCGGTTGGTTGGTTGGTTGGTTGGTTGGTTGGTTGGTTGGTTGGTAGGTCGGTTGTCAGGTTGGTTGTTAGGTAAGTTGGTTGTTTTTGTGTTTTGTTGGGAGGGAGAGATTCAATGCGGAATTTACGGGTTTGGACAGTTCTAAAGAAACGATCTAGGATGACGACAGAAAGGCATTATAAAATACATTTTCAATGTACCCATGAACGTAGATACCCAGTCCTCTCTCTGTCTCTCTCTCTCTCTCTCTCTC